ACAGGGAGGGCAGCTAAGGAAAACCGGTCTGCTTTCCTTCACTAAACTAACTAAATAAAAAAACATGAAAAATAATCCACTACCTACTACGAAAACAAACAAAGTATCAAAATAAAAACTTGATAACACACTGAGAAAACTAAAGAATCAAAATGTTAGGAACAAAACTCTAAAGAGAGCGGCTTGTAGATAGTTCCCGGCATACAGGGCCCCGCCAGCCAGATCGCCTGAGCGCAAGCCACCACCGAGCTGAGAGAGAGAGCGAGAGAGTGAGAGAGACTGAGCCGCCATTGCTTTCAGCCTAATATACTGGGAATCCCCAGTGACATCACGGGCTTCATCCAATCCTGGACAAGCAGTGTAGAAAACTCCACCTACAACTCAAGCGCAACAAGCACATACCTGCAACAAATACATAAACAAATTAATTAAATAAAACACAGACCCGCGTAACAAATGCCATTACTTAGCCAAAAATGTAGTGCGAGTATCTGTTGTAAATATAACTTGAAGTATGAGTAAAAAGGAGCCCTTTTAAAAATACTCAAGAGTCGTGAGTAATAAGTATTACACAGTTTACATGCAATTTGTCTGTGTGTGTGTTTAAAATGTGACATTCTGTAGTGTATTTAGTGATTGCTTAAGGCTATTTGTCGATTTTAGTTATCATACAGTAGGCATCTGTCATCTTCTCATCAGTGACTTGTGGTCTAAACTATCTCTCGGTCATAACCTGTAATGATTTAGTGTCTTCTGTCTTCACTTTTTCCAATTATTTTTTTATGTTATAGCCTTATTCCAAAATGGATTAAATTCATTTATTTCATCCAAATTCTACACACGAAAAAACTAAAAATAACTAAACCTGAAAAATGACATATACATAAGTTTTTACAGCCTTTGCTCAATACTTTGTTGATGCACCTTTGGCAGCAACTACAGCCTCAAGTACCTCACAAACTCTATTAGGTTGGATAAGAAGCAATGGTGTACAGCCATTTTCAGATCTCTGCAAAGATTTTCAATAAGATTTAGGTCTGGGATTTGGCTGAACCATTGACTGAGTTGTTGTAAAGCCAATCCATTGATATTTTGGTGGTGTGCTTTGGGTCATTGTCCTGTTGAAAGATGAACCATCACCCCAGTCTTAGGTAAAGAGCACTCTCAAGCAGGTTTTCATTCAGGATGTCTCTGTACATTGCAGCATTCATTGTTCCCTTTATCCTGACTAGTCTTCCAGTTCCTGCTGTTGAAAAAAACATCCCCACAACATGATGCTGCCACCACCATGCTTTACTGTAGGGATGGTATTAGCCTGGTTATAAGTGGTGCCTGGTTTTCTCTAAACAAAACGCCTGGTATTCGCTCTAAAGAGTTCATTTTTAATTTAATCAGACCAGAGAATATTGTTTCTTATGGTCTGAGAGTCCTTTAGATGCCTTTTTGAAAATTCCAGGCGGAGAGTGGCTTCCTTCTGGCCATTCTACCATACAGGCCTATTTGGTGGATTGCTGCATAGATGGTTGTATTTCCGTACGGTTCTCCTCCCTCCACAGAAGCTCAGAGTGAGTATCAGGTTATTGATCACCTCCCTGACTAAGGCCTTTCTTTTCTTATTGATGTTGGAGGCCATTGTGCTCCTTGGAACTTTCAGAGCAGCACATTTTTTTCTGTGACCTTTCCCAGCCTTGTGCCAAGAGACCATCCTGTCTCGGAGGTCTACAGACAATTCCTTTGTCTTAGAGCATGTCAAAGCACAAACCAAGCATGATCAACCCTGGGACTTTATATAGACAGGTGTATGCCTTTTCAAATCATATCTCCTCCGTAGGCTTGCCACGATAGACGGTGTTGACCGTGATACCGGTTTTAAGATGCAGCAAGGGTGACATCACTTTTCCTCCGTGACACCATCCCCAAATTTTTTATTTTTATTTTTTAAGTATTCGGGTTTGTTTTTTATTATTAAATATTTATTTGAATTAAATGGATTATATAATTATAAATAGTTGACTTAAGACACGATCATGCTCTATAATTAAAATCTGAACATAGCTACAATGCGTCATATTTCATTTATCACGTGAGGAGAAAAGAGGAGTTGAATTTACAGAAAGAGAATGGTGGACGATTAAGTGTCAAAACGCAATGCGAAAGCGCCTGTTTGGCAATATTTTGGGTTCAAACCAAATGCAAAAAGAGAACCTAAAGATGTTAATGAGGCAATCTGCAAACTTTTCCTGACAAAGGTGGCAGCATCTAGAGGAAACATAACTAATTAAAGCACACACCTTCAACGCACCTTTATGTTTAACTATGGGTGGGTCGCGGAAAAGATCCTGTGTGTGCGCACATCTTTTATAACTGAGGCGGCTCTCTTCAAAAACCGAAAGTTACTTCGTCTGTCTGGCAATATTTCGGCTTTTAATCGAATGAAAAGTTCATTTAGATGAGCCAATATTGGTAACAATAGTAAGTGCAATAAAGTAACCGAGACAAGCGGCCATACATCGAATCTGAGGTCTAAGTCTCTCTCTCTCTCTCTCTCTTGCTCTCTCTCTCTCCCTCTTATACATCGAGACGCCAGACAAGTCAAGTCGCAAAACTTAGGCAGGTGCAGCTGACAGGTAGTAGCCTATAGCTGAAGAAGCCTTTGCGAAATATGTCATTAACAGGCATAAATGTCTTTGAGCCAAAAAAAGTATATTTGTAGGATATCTGTAAAAACGCAATTGGAGAAAATGTTATAGGAGTTGTGTAGCCTATTAATTATATACATTCTAAAATAAAAACCTAAATAAACAATTCTTGGCATTTTTCATTTGATAAAAAAATATGTAAACGTAAAAAAATCAAAGGGTGGCTAGTTTGTATTAATGTGTTTTAATAGGCTATTTATTAAAATATGCTTAGCCTATTTAAATTTAACGGCTATATACGTCGCCAATAGACAAGCCATTCAAAACATATTATTTCACTGTGTACTGGGTTATAATGTATATTTTACAATAAAAACTACAAATCTGTAACAAATTAAACTAAAAATAAAACGTCTTGCCAGTGCTGTGTGTATTCCGCCACTGACAGTGCACGCCCTTATGCAGCGCCTGTAACTGCTGCTTTTAAGAGAGATCAAAGCTGTATTGATACAACCAAAAAGCAAGATCATATAGTTATAAATATTCCATAACAACACTTATCGAAATATTTATACATTTACATGTTGTTTATTAAGATTGTGTGATCTGTAGGCTGTCTGATCTCAGAAGCTGTAAACTGACACGCGTGCGGTGATGTTTCTGACAAGGCGCTTTTATTTAGCCTGAAGTCTATACATTTTTTACATAATGTTCCATTACACAACATTTCTTTTTTTATTAATTATAGTTTATATATAAAACCAGTGCTAGCTTGTTTAGTTTTGATCATTATGCAAGGATCATATTTCATATTCGGTTTATTCTTCATTAGCCTATAGATTCGTTAATAATGTATTTTATAAATGGATTGTTCATAAGGACTAAGCTATTAATATATAATATAGGCTTTTATGGTTGTTATTTGTTTGGTTCCAACTTCCACAGTTTTTTTCAGTCTGTAGCATTGGTGTTTTATTCATTATGTCAATAAAAGTTATGTGTTGTTTAATAAGTGTTTTATTTATTTATTTTATTTTATTTTTTTGTAGTTTTCTTTTTGTCCATTCAAACAATTGACGCCGAATTGGTGATTCCCGCAAAACTGAAAGTGAAAGCAGGAAATGCAGAAAAAAAAAAGGAAAATAAGAAACGCCCACTCCCACGGTGATACCGGTATTACCGGTGTTGTCACGTGTCGATTAACCGGTGGGGAAATTTCCTCATCGTCACAACCCTACTCCTTCGCAAATCAGCTATTGTGTGGTGTGCGGTCTGGTGCAATATGGCTGCTGTCGTGTCATCTAGGTGGATGCTGCATGAATGAGGAGATTTCCCCTAATGTGTAAAGTGCATTGATTGTTTAGAAAAGCGCTATATAAATGTAAGGAATCATTATTATTATTATTATTATTATGTCCAATCAACTGAATTTACCACAGGTGAACTCTAATTAAGCTGCTGAAACATCTCAAGAATGATCAGAGGAAACAGAATGTACCTGAGCTTAAATTAGAGCTTCACAGCAAAGGCTGTGAATACTTATGTACATGTGATATTTCAGGTTTAGTTATTTTTACTAAATATGCAACAATTAAAAAAAAATCTTTATTGTGTGTGGGGTATTGTGTGTTGAATTTTGAGGAAATAAATGAATTTAATCCTTTTTGGAAGAAGGCTGTAACATGAACAAATGTGAAAAAAGTGAAGCGCTATGAATACTTTCCAGATGCACTGTAAGAGTATTTGGTGGTTTTAAAAATCCTTAAAGTCAATCAATAACAAACTGATCAAATTAACATGCATCTTACACGTAATTTGCAGGCATATAGAAACAGTTACTCTGTATGTTAATAAATGCTTTAGACAGTAACAATGTTCAGTAACAAAACAAGCTGCTTATTATCCTTCTTTGTACTGTAATTTACACAACCAACCAGGAAAGATACATATATCTCAATCTACTAAAAATGACAGCATCATTCTGTTAAGGTTTACAATATTTAAATTTGTCAGAGCAGAAATCAAGGCCAATATTGTAATTCATAAGTGCAAATAAACATGCACACACAAATCACGAAGTGCAAAAAACTGTGAATCAACTGATATGACTTGCAGTGTAAAAAAGGATCCCCCTCACCCCTGTAAACTCTATATATTGAACTGAAATAAATGATGAGCTGGTTGCTTAAATAAGTAGAGCATGCAATACTCACTGATGTCTTGGGGATTCTAGAAGCAAAGATGAGTGTATAAGTTTAGCCTGTTTTGATATTATGTGCTATTTATATTATGTATGTATGTATGTATGTATGTATGTATATTAATATACTTTTTCTGCTCTTGTCAACAATATCTTCACAGGTATATCTGTCAGCATCTCCACCTTCAGTCTGGTGGCCATTGCTATTGAAAGATACAGTGCCATTTGTAACCCGCTAAAGTCAAGAGCATGGCAGACCCGTTCTCATGCCTATAAGGTCATCGCTGCCACATGGGTCCTCTCTGTAGCTATTATGGTGCCCTATCCTGTGTTCAGTATATTGGTGCCATTTAACAAGACTAACAACATCACAGCTCACATGTGCAGACTTGAATGGCCTATCAGCCAAGTGGAGCAGACATGGTGAGTCCTTTGCGAGTTTAATCACTTGTCAAATGATGCAATAACATGAAGACTTGAAGCTTAGTGTTTTTATTACAACTTTTTATTTTATGTATACTTGGACTGAATGTCTGTTTGGGTATATATGTGGAGAAGTTAAAAGGCTTCTGTTAATTGGTTGTATATATATATATATATTGCTCAGCATATATAAGAATATAAGATCACCCCTCACAAATTTTTTAAATTTACAATTTTAATAGGAAGCTATACAATATATTTGTGCATATACATTAGATTAGTCAGTACTGAAGCCAAATCTAGAGCTTATCTAACAAAATAACTTACGATAACAGTCCAAAATCTAGTACAGCTAAATTTACATGTCATAGAAAATGTCTTCACCCTTGTGTATTACTCCAACAAGTAGCGGACACTCTACTGTTTGACACATGTTGCTGCTGTTGGACAACATATTGTAGTTTTGAGTCTTTTAAACATTTATTGTACAGCAAGGATGTATAATCCTGCGCCTAAAGGGCCCCTTTCATAAATAGAATCTCATACATTATATCTGCTAGAATATACAGTAGCTAAACTCTGCACGTATACAGTTAGTAATAACAAAAGTGATAAAACTGCAAAACAAACAAGGAAACTCCAATGCAAACAAGGGAACTGAATATAGCAATACAGCGATATATATTGTAACAAACGCATGAATATTCCTAAATATAGGAAGCATTTTGTCAGTGCTTGTTTTGTTTTCTTTTTGCAAAACAATAGTAGCTGGCAGTAATAGCACTGCCCTCAACTCATAAATATGGGACTCAAAGAAAACTTGAAGCTTTACATTCTTAATTATGTTACTGTAATAAAATGTTGGGTAACAATTAACAATAAGATTCATTAGTTAATGCATTTACTAACATGAACTAATCATGAACAACACATCTCCAGCATTTATTAATCATAATTGAACATTTACTAATGCACTGTTAAACATCCAAGTCCACGCTTTTTAACATTAGTTAATGCACCATGAGTTAACATGAACTAACAATGAACTACTGTATTTTCATTAACTAACATTAACTAGCATGAACAAATACAGTAGTATATGTATTGTTCATTATTTGTTCATGTTAGTAAATGCATTAATTAACATTAACTAATGAACCTTATTGTAAAGTGTGACCAAATGTTGTTTCAGACATGACTTCAGTACACCAATAGCTCTCTAAACGCAGCATTGGACATTTGTTCCCCCTCATTGGGGCTAAATATTTTAGATTATATGATGACTATTTCTCAGAATATAACATTTCTATTACTACCACAACAACAGCTTTAATTAATATTACTTTTAATAAAAATATATTGTATTCATTCAGTTTCTTTTCGACTTTGTCCCTTTATTAATCAGGGGTTGCCACAGCAGAATGCTAAAAATAATGTTGCAGTGCAAAATGATGGCATGGATTAGCCTGAAATTGTGAACAAAATGGGGTATGAGTGAAAAGAAAGTGTGCAAAAAGCTGTTAAAAAAAACCACATCCATGCAATATAGTGCAATAAATGACAAGGTCAAATAAGCACTAATCAGCATGAACCAGAGCCTTGAAAAGCATATGCTGGTTTAAGCTGGTCTTTAGACAGGGGACCTAATGTCAGGAATCATCTCTAAATGAGATGAAAATACATCACAATTGCAATTAAATCTTGCTTATTAATAGTGGCACTGCGGTCTAAGCCTTGTTTGGTATTCATTATCTCTATCTGATAGTCTGTTTGAACATACAGATGCATCGTTCCATTGGCCAAGAGTTTCACACAGATCACAGCCTGCTGGTTCAACTCCTGGTCAGAAACTGTTAAGCTCCAGGGGGTTCTGATTTGTGATGTCTCTCTCTCTCTCTCTCTCTCTCTCACTCTCTCTCTGTTAATATTAATATTACTGTGTTAAAAAACAAAGTATGGATGGCCAAGAAAGTCTGAAGATGATAGTTTGAGTAATTTAATAAAAATATTTAAGCTTTTTTTTTAAATATAATAAATGCAGAGCACTGCTATAGAAATGCTTTATTAAAGCTTTACTTTGATGAAGACATTTTTAAAAGCAGTTTTGCTTTGTCAATAAAGGCCAATGGGCTTTTAACACTTTATTGACTGGAGAAAGCTAAATGTTCTGTCACTGCTGATTAAAGTTATTAATTTATCACGTTCAGAGGCATGTTGACAGTTTAGTTTACCATTAATGGGTAGAGTACTTTTAACTTTATTGAATCATCTTTCTTTAAGAAAAAAAATAAATTAATTAAAAAAAAAAAAAATAAAAAATAAAATATATATATATATATATATATATATATATATATATATATATATCCTTGACTGCGTTAATTAGGGCTTCATCCATCCTGTCTTTCATGTCAGCCCTTTTGAAAACCTTTGATTCATGTTCACTAAAAAAGCCTAGAATGTCAAGTTATACACTTATTAGATAAAAAAACAATAAAAAAAACCAATAATAATAATAATAATAATAATAATTACGGTGGGGGGTGGCACAGTGGGTAGCGCTGTCATCTTACAGCAAGAAGGTTAAGGCAAAAACACAGTAAGGCAAGAACAAGGAAACACTTCTTAGGGCTTACTTACAAGATACAAGACTCAGCCAAGATGTGTGTGTGTGTGTGTGTGTGTGTGTGTGTGTGTGTGTGTGTGTGTGTGTGTGTGTGTGTGCATTTGCAATCAAGGGGGATCTGGAACTGGTGTGTGAGGTGCATTATGGAATATGTAGTCCGGTTCAGGGGCAGATGTGATGTGTAGAGTGCCCTCTAGTGTATCTGGTGAGCACTTGATGATTGTAACAAATAGATGTATAAAATAGCTCAAATCTAGACTAATCATCAAATATGCTAGAATAAATAACTACACATGTGAAGTCTGTTTAATCTGCTTATTTGATGATTTGTCTAATTTTGGACTCTTCTTAGACATCTTTTATAGATTTTTACATTTATAAGATATCTATTAAGCACAAAATTCCTCGGTGGGTTCTTTATCTTTTACTATCCTTGTTTGTTTTCAAAAAACATACAGGTTTTACAAGTCAAACATTGTGAACATGTGTGCTTATTATTAGTGTGCTTCCTAATATCACCCTCCAATATCTACTTCCTGGTGAGATAAGTATTGTTTTTATTGCCTTTGTGCTTGAGCTCATTATGAATTTGAAAGCCACACAGGAAACAAAAGGAGAGAAAGGTGTCTTTGATATTAGATAAGTGCAGCACGGAAAGGGGCTGCAAGCACAAAGCTGTCTGATAGAAAAAAAAGATCTGAGGAACAGACTAGCAGAAATGCTTTCAGAGAATACTCCCACGCTGTCATTTGAATATTACAAAATGACGTCATACTATGGGACTGAGCTTTTTCATTTAAAGGGCCGTGACCACACCTCTAGTTTGAAAAAAGAAAAAATGAAAGTGAGCAAGTTTTAATTTGTTTAGGTTGGAGTATTCAACAGCAAAAGAGGGAAGGGTCTGCATGAAAAGGGGAGTTTCTTTACATGTGGCCGGCAACCCAAACACAGACGCAGGGGAAATAGACAGTGATTCGAAAAGCAGCGTTTACAGTGGATCTGAGAGATGTGTAAATAAAGTGCTGGATTTCTCTCCACCAGATTCCCCTCAGTCACATTATCTGGTTAATGACAGTACAGGTCCACTGCCTTTTCATGTTTAACCTTTCAACACAAACACTCCCCTGAATGCAGGAGAAAGTGAAGAAACTCCCGACAAGGTGATAGTCTCACAATGATAGTTATTATTCCCAACTGTATTTAACCAATAACCAAATAACTAATAAATACATTTTGCCTGCCACAAATACTGCACTGCAGTGAAAAAGTCGATTGTTGTAATCTGTTGTGAAAACATTGGTCTAGCACCCCACCTCCCACCGGACTTCGGGTTCAGAAGATGGATGTAATTGTTGTACAACCATTTATAAAGACACCCAACAAAGCATTTTCAGTTCTTAATATTGTAGTTAAATTATTGTAAACTACTTAGTAACTTTAGTCATTTCAGTAATGTCTTAAAAAACTGAAAGAGTACTTTTGACGATATTAACTTTACCATCTGAAGAAACATAAACAATGAACATTGATCGCACACTTACCAAATCCGTAGAGATAGGACAATTGTCACCGACTCGCTCCCAGTCATTCCCCTCGCTGGCCAGCAGAGGTCATCATCACCGGACTATAGACATTACATCCTCCACTTTACTGATTAGCACTCACACCTGCAGCACATCTCCCAAGCACACGCTTATAAGCAGCACAAACACCCAGTCTCATTGCGAAGTCTTGTTCTGCCCTGGCTAACACTACTGAGCGTTTCTCATCATTGCCTGCTTCCCCGTTGCTTACCTTACCTTGCCTTGATTACCGACCTTGTCTTGCCTGCCGCCTGCCTTGTATCTCAGCCTGAATCCTGACTCTGATCCACGCCGCCTGCCCTGAACTCTAGCCTGCACACTGACTTTGATATTCGCCGCCTGCCTCTGACCCATGCCTGCATACTCATCCTGCGTTTACCTGCCGCCAGCCCTTCGACTTTATACTACTGTGTTTGATGTGAGTTCGCACACGCACTACATCTGTGTGCTTGTTGTTATTAAACTGTGTTTAATGAATATACTGCAAATGGATCCATCTGTGTCAGCCACTTCGTTACAACAATCAACATGAATTGGAACTGCGTCTTTCAAAAAAGAAATAGAGTGGCAAATCCGAATTTCATCATTTCCAGATTGGAAAAGCTCTCGGGTAAAAAATGTTCCATACAAACATATTTTTGCCACGTGTTCGCAGACCACTGTAATCCACACATGTAGGTCCCACACATGAGCTGTGCTCTTATTGTGGGGAAATGAAAAAAAAAAAAATTATTGTGGCACATTTATAAATGCAACGCTTATAACTCATGTCACCAAACAATTCTATTTCTTTTTCCACTTGTTTTAATTGCGGTTGGCAACACAACTTGGCGTCTCTCTGAACACTGTAACAGGTAAAAAGAGTCTTCGAAGCTACATCATGCATATTAATGAAGTTGCACCTCATTCACAATTTTGTTCACAACAAAATCAGCGTGCTGATTGGTTCTTATAAAGTCTTTCTCATGAATTAATGCTAAAAACTCAATGATCTCACTTTTTACACACTGGTACAGATATCTAATCACCACTCTGAAATTTACACAATAACGTTTACACATCGCTGTGACGTAGCTTTAAAATTTCTTTTCAAACCAGAAGAACGAATTTGCTCAAAACAATGCAAAAACAACCAATTTTAACTTTTTAGTAAAATATATGTGTCCTGATAGTGTTTTTAGCAACGTGAGACATATTTATGACTGTCAACATCTCAAAAAATGCATTTTGGTGTTTTGTGACCCTCTAAACCTCGACATTCATCTATTGTAGTGTCTTATTGCTTAGAAAACAGTCCATTTCATTTCACATAATAAGGAATAAATCTGTTAGGCCAGTGGTTCTTAAACTTTTTTTCATCAATCACCACCTCAGAAAAAAAATTGTCTCTCCAAGTACCACCAAAATTAGCAGTATTGAAATACAGTAGCGTAGTAGGCCCAGTAAAGCAGCTACAACTCTGCAAAGTTAAAAAAAAAAACGTGGCAGATTACCTCAAAAATATAGGCTATATGTCAATTATGGCATATTATATGCATAACTTTTGATAAATTTTGAAATGTGTATAGCATGTACTTGACATATTGCATTCCTCCGTGTACCACTAGAAGGAAGCCTACGTACCACTAGTGGTACATGTAACACAGTTTGAGAACCACTGTGTTAGGCCAAGTTCACAGTCATTGGATCGCCATTGCTTTCACACTGCACGACTCTCTGGGGGTAACCTTCGGTTGCTGCTCTGTTCACATTGCATGACGGATCAGAGACGGGCAGTTACAGCTTATATTGCCTTATATTGCCTTTACAATAGCAAGAAATGCTGACAGCTCTGTTTGGACTGGAAACAACCAAACACATGAAAAGTGATAAGAACGGAAAAAGTCATATGAGCCTGTTGATATTCTGCTCTATAGCATCTCCTATTGCCTTGTCTCCTATTCTCTTATTGGCTGTAAGTCACTGCAGAGAGTTTTCAGTCAGAACCTAGGATTCTGTGATTCCTAGGGTGGGGACACACCAAGCTTACGCCCCATTCACACAGGGCGTCAGCATCAACGCTTCCCATTCACTTTGAATGGGTGACGTCAGGCGCTGCCAAACTGCATTGTGGATCTGTCAGCGCCACTTTAGTGGCGTTGCTAGCTGCAAAAGGTTGGGACTTGCTCATCTTTTCAAACGCTGACGAAAGCATCAGCTAATCAGATCGCTATATGCAAGTACACCAGCTCAGACAGTGGCTTATTGCTGACTAATTTAATTTTCTGACAATGCTATGACGATCAGGTCAGCCACAACTTCAGACACACCCTCTGTCAAGCTTTGACGCTGAAACCCGTTTGTATGGGGCATTACAGTTGACCATTGGGCTTCAGTCTAGCTATCAGCTTGTTAAGTGGTGATGTGTTTGTGACGTATGTAATACTGTTTCTGGGTCCAAGTGTAATACAAGGTTCTGGGTTCTGGGTCCATTCATTATAGTAGAGAAATCATTCGTTTATGATCACGTTTTATTACTATCACATATTAAAGTTAATTTTATATAAAGTCATAGTGTACACAACAATCTCTGGGCTTGCTGCATAACAAATACCAACAATTTTACAATTTATAAAAAAATGTATCACTTTCTGGCCATCAAATATTAGGCATGGACATATATACTGCGATCGTGATTTTCAAAAGCATTAAATCGCTTTGTAAACGTTTATTATTACCATTTCATGAGTCTCCCCGTTCAGTTGAATAGAGCGCTTGGACCCGGAAGCCGCTTCGCGTGACGTCACACTTAACGAGCGGATTAGTCAGCATCAGTCATGCTAGTTGGTTTGGTGTGATTCACATTTTGCGTCTTATCGAGCTAACGTCAGATCGAGTAGTCCCTTTCAGCGTGCAGAATCGGTATCATTTGTTGGCTAAAGAGAGCAATTCAATTTGTCATTCAGCAACGAATCAGAGCATGAGAACAAAAACTCAAGTGATGGAACCAAGTAAACAATTCAATTAAAGAAGAAAGTCAAATATGGCAGGTTTTATTTTGCTACATTTCTCAAATAATTGCAAGCAATAAGTACTATTAGATTATCAGATAAATTTGCACAAGCAAATTCATTTATGTTGAGTGGAATGTACTGTAATAATGATACTAAACACTGCTTTATTTATCCATTGTCTGTGCGTATTTAATCTTCCAGGATCCCTTTGTGGAATGAGAAAACCAATTTCTGCCCCCGCGGGAGTGAAAAGACACATTCATGTGCAGGTCTTTGGTCTATATGTGAGCCAATGCAAGCCTACAACACAGAAGGATTTTTGTCAGAGCTAGTTGTTTGACATTGGCTTGGTGTGTCCCACCACTTAGATCTCACCTATATAATTCACATTGTGTGATTTGATTGTCATTTGCATGAACAAGCACTGATTTGCCTCTTGGGGGATTAAATTAGCACCTACTTCAGAGTAGGGGTTGAACCCAGCACAACACATGAAGAATTTCAGTTGGTGGTGTAATTTCAACCATAGAGATGACCCTGAGAGAGAAGCTAGTTTAGGAACTGCCCTTGTGCCTAGTTTTTATAACAGAGCTCTTTTAACTACCCAGTGCAAAAGCACTTTTTAAGACCATTGATGTTGATTGATGATTGACTAGAACTTTTAGAAAAGAAACAACACTTTTGGAAAATGCATTCCAGAAAAGTCATTTCTGCCATCACTCATCTCCCTGGTTGTCATCTGTTCACTAATTAAGTGTAGTTGAGCGGTTTTATTGTTTTTTTCTTATACTGTCTCTATTGATTCACTGCATTTGCATTTACTGATATTATCTTTTTCTCTGTCAGGTACGTCTTGTTGCTGTCCATTCTGTTCTTCATCCCTGGAGTGGTGATGATAATTGCTTACGGTCTTATATCCAGAGAACTTTACAGAGGGATTCAATTTGAGCTGGAGCAGAAAAAAGATACCAGTGGTATGAATTTTTTGTGAACACATGTGCGTGTGTGTGTGTGTGTCTTCACACTAAAATGAAAACTCAGAATGCCAAAGTAGTCTGAAGCACACCTGTTCACTTTGATAGACTACATGAAACATTTAAAAGATTGTTTTAGCTAAATGCACCAGGCATTTCCATCAAACGTTTTTGTTCTCTAACACTTGAATCTAATTTCCTCCTGTGGATGATATCAGTTTGCCTTGAATTTGCAACAGTTAACCAAGCAAGAGTAAATTGAAGTACTGCTAATCATGTATTGTTTACTTGCTAAATTATTTGATTTAATGTTTCCTTTATGTCAAACAGCCATTTAAAAGTTGTTTCCTGCCATTTGAGAGATTTGAGCAAGGTGGAAGCTTTTATTTGGCATCCTCAAATGGCATGCTCAACAGACTTTTCCCCTTTCAATTTTATGAAAGTGGCTGCTTGACCCATGTCTCCCATGGTGAAGACTGAATGCACTAAGGTCATGCTGAGTACTTCCCTGAGCGTTAAGGTTGATTGTGCACTGATGTGCTGAATGTAAGCTCTCTCAGGGAGAAGCTTTAGATAACTGCAGTGAGGTGGAAGAGGGTACTTCTCAGTGCATTGCAGTTAAAGACCTCCACAGCTATCTTTTATTAGAAGTATCACAAAAAACAACAACTTTTTAAGTGATGATTATTTTATTTTTTATTTTTTTGGAGAACTACGCCTAAGGACATGCTGATCCCGGTCTATGCATATTTAAATAGACAACTGGTTATACAGGTGTTATTTGTTTAAATTGTGCCACCCTTTCTTCACGGGCATACAGTGTGACAAAACATTTCCTTTTTAAATGAGTCGTCTAATTTTCCTTATGTTATGCTCTGCACCACCAACATTATGCCATCTGTATTAATGCTGAAAGAGATTTATCTGAAGTGTCTTCATAAATTGCAAAGATGAGATTGTGATCTACAAGCTCTAGAATATCTTGCTTATTAAATATTGCATAAAAGAAATTAAAAAATTTAATTAAACTGTGTTTTTGTTCTTTGAATTTTGAAGTAAAAGGTCAGTTTATGATGTTTAGATCACCTGTTTTCCACAGATATGGTGTTTTTACAGATTTGAAAGCGACAGCTCAGAAAATGTTTGTAAACCGCCGAAAAGTCAAGAAGAGCAGTCAAGAGTGATTGTGGACAGATGCAGGAAAGGGTTACAGTACACCTTTATTTTCTCTCATTTTTTTCATTCACAGGTGTAAAGAATGGGTTGAATGGTGGATTGTCATCTTGCCATGATGAGAGCGATGGATGTTATATACAGGTCTCAAAGAAACCTCCCGCTATGGAACTTTCAACTTTGACCACCTCAGGCCCAGTCAAGACAGACCGTCCACGAAGCAACACCTCAGAGGCCAAACTCATCGCCAAAAAACGAGTGATACGAATGCTGATCATTATAGTTGCCATGTTCTTTGTATGCTGGATGCCTCTATACTCTGCCAACACCTGGAAGGCTTTCGACCAAATATCTGCTCAGCGTGCACTTTCTGGAGCTCCCATCTCCTTCATTCAGCTGCTCTCCTATACCTCAGCCTGCGTTAACCCCATCATCTACTGCTTCATGAACACCCGCTTCCGGAAGGCTCTCTTGGCTACCTTCGGGTGTTGCAGGCGGCCATGCCACAATCGGAGGAAGAGGAAGGAAGGTGATGATGAGATCACTGGGGTCACAGGGGTGTCCATATCTAAGTTTAGTTATACAACTGTTAGCACGGTAGGGCCGTGTTAGCGTTGTGGGTGTTTCAAGTTTGATCCATGAACCATGTGCTTGTCATGTACTGCTTGTTTAGGAGTTCAGATTCTTCTTTTCATGGTGTCCACATTCTTTGTTCAATGTGTCAGTGTTTATTTGGAAAAGAATACCTCATTTGTTTGTTCTTTCTGCCTAATTCGGTGTGTCAGTGGTCTTTTTTGGTTGTGTTTTCAATCAAAAGATATGGTACAAGGGATGTACAAAAATGTAGCTTTATTTTTTTTGTGTGGTAAATATTAGAGAACTTTTTAAAGATGATCTTAGTAATGCATGGGAAGTGTCAATAGAGAATTACTATAGAAATATTCTTGTATCTTTGATGTTATGGAACCAAATATTGCACGTTGCATGATCAAAAAAATAGCCCTCTGGTAGATAGCTGGCTACAAAATGGTACAGTTGCTCTTTTTTGGTCTACATGAATGTTGTGGTTTTCTGTGTTTATTCTTTGTTTCATTTGAGTTCTTTAACAGAATCCTTGTCTTAATGAGCTTTAGTTACACACCACCGAGAGTTTATTTTTTTGATGCACATTTTCTACAAGCTATCCTACACCAATCTCTATCAGGGGAGCAAGGGAGTTCAGTCATTAACAACCTTTTGCAAATCTTCACCCTAGCTGATGTGACAAAATGGTCAACACTGCCATGTTACTATACAAGACAGGTGGGAATTTTCAAGACTCCTCTTGAACACCTTGACACTGGGAAATATTAAAAGAAAAAGAAACTAATAAACAGTAAAGAGAACTTTGATGTAATTGCCTCACAAAACCACAACCCGAAAAAAGAACGCAAGCCTGTCTCAAATTGCAGTTGCTCTAATTGATTTTTTCCTTATTGCTGAGGCTGATGAGACACCTGGGATATTCTGCATCTCTTCTGGCCCCAATGAAGCCTCTCTGAATATCTGAAAGAAGAGCTAAGCTCTTGTTTGTGCTGAATTTAATTTATTCAGTGGTTCATGCTAAACATGAAAGCCGGATTTGCACAGCGAAACCAAGCATAAGATGTTTAAGTGCTTATGACTGGTTTATCACAGAGTTGCTGATTATATATATATATATATATATATATATATATATATATATATATATATATATATATATATATATATATATATATATATATGGTCATACAAGTATTCACTTGTAAGGGAAGGTTCACCCAAAAATAAAACTTCTGTCATCATTTACTGTTTTCTGAGTTTCTTTCTTCTATTAAACAAAAAATGTGAATGTCAACAGTAACACATTTTCAGATTTTAATAATATACTCTGCTGGTCAAAAGTTTGGGGTCATTTTTTTTCATGTTTTTTTTTTTTTAAGAAAATTAATCTTTTTTTTAAGGTGGCATTTATTAAATGTAAAAAATTAAATAAATTGTTAAATATTGATAAACATTTTAAATAACTGCTTTCTTATTGTATGTAGTTTGAAATGAATTTTTCAAATTACTATTATTACTTCAGTCATTATTGCTTTTATTACTATTACATTAATAAAATTTTTATAAAATAATTTTTATTATTAATTTAGAGCAATTTCTGAAGGATCATGTGACTCTGAAGAAGCTGGAAAATCCTCTTTAAAATCACTGCAATAAATAATTAAATCAAATGATAAACTACTTTTGAAAAACTACTTTTTATTCAGTGCAATAATATTTTGCAATTTTACAATTTGTACTCTATTTCAGATTAAATAAATGCAGTCTTGGTGAGCAGGATAAGCTTATTTTAAAACATTTAAAAATCCTACTGACCCCAACATTTTGACTGGTAGTGTATAGATACACTTTGTGTCCAACAAAAGAAAGAAACTCATAAAGACTTATAACCACTCAAGGGTGTGTAAACTAGTAAAAAAAAAAATGTATGGGATAATTATCCTTTTTAGTTGTGATGTATGTGTGTGTGTGATATGAAACTTTATTTTTGAGTACATAATTTACTAATTTCTGTTGAGAACACAGCCCTTCTCATTTTTCCATTTACAAGCACTTTTTGTTTAAATTATAATAGTAGTACTACTACACTAATAGTATTACAGCACAACGATTTGCATTGTTTAATGTTTTATTTTCCATCTGATAAAGTGTTTGGACTCAGAAATGGTGATGCGTAACATCATGTTAACATACCTAAAACAATTTATTTTCTAGTTCATCAGTTTACCAGTTAATCAACTTTGGATTTTTTTATTACTAAAGATTTTTATATGTAATCCACACATTAGATAAAAGTAAATAGTATGAATAATTAATAAAGTATGATTTAATCCTGATTTACAATAATTAACTTTTTAAAAATGCAATATTCAGTTTACAAACAAAGCAAATTTTATCAGTAACAATAATAAAATAAAATAAAATGATTGTGTATTTTTGCAGGCCAACATTAAACAGTTGCTCTTTTTAATTAAATTGCTTTGTGATTAAAGACGTCTCTTGCAAACATGTATTGTCATTTTACTCGTTCTTCTTTCAACTTTGGAAGTCAGAACTAATATTCTTAGCTTCGTAATGTATGTGCCTCCAGGATATACAATAAGCAAATACTTCAGTGCGTACATATGCCAGCCTCCTTACCTCATTCATTTCTGACTGCTGCTTTCTCATTATTATCACTCCCTTCCTGCAATTTTTTTCTTTTCATCGATCAGTTTTCCTTTTCACCATTGCCTCTAAAGGACCACCTGGGTATGTGGCAAACCTAAATCAAACAAAAGTCTTGGGGATAAACAGAAAGTGCTATTTCTCACTCAGACACACAACCTGTCTCTTGGTGACATCCGGCACAAGCTATGCTGAAAGTTGAGCTAGTTATTCTCACAGGTTGTGTTTGGGTAGATGACTAATAACATACGTCTGGCCAAACCACTCCAACAGAGGATATGGATCCTGTTTCCAAGACAACCATTCATACAGTACATGACTGGTTTGATTAGGACCAAATGCCTCATAAAGTAACACATAGAAACATATTGAAATGAAATGTACCTAAATACAAATAACAGCACAACAAAGACTTTTGTGGAATTACGCTTTGGATAAACAGACAACAGTAAAATATTCATTTTTAATCTCTGTCGAGCTTGATGTAGAGCATCGGGCTGTTAGAATAAAACAACAACATACTGGCCTGGCATGTTAAATAAGAAGAGGTTAACAAATTGTCACACTTCTGACCTTGTTCAGATAAAGATATTTTATTTTCAAAAATATTTTCTAACATGCTTCAACTCTCTTCTGCTCTTTTTGTGGCAGATATAAAGGAACAGAGTGATAAATATGCAGTGTGTCAAAGTTTGTCTGCTCTAAATTGTTCTCTGAGGAATTGTCCTTATAGTTCTCTTCTGAAACATAGACTCAGAAAACGTGTTGTATTTTATTGTGAGTGATTTGTGATCTGTATCATTTAGCCAAAAAGGTTGGTATGTATTGATTAGATTAATCATACAATATTTGTTTATGGTTTATATTTAAACATCGGTGTAAATACAATACCTCACTATTCTGGCAATTTAGGATTCCTCGTTATCTGCCTATATAAATGCATTTTTCACACATAAACAATACTTGAAGATTTCTCAAGTTATTTCTTGCCATTGCCAAATCTACTACTACAACACACATGCACAAACACAATGAAAATAAAAAACAATTAAAAAAATAGTGAACAAAAAGCAAACACCAATGATCCTGAATAGTAAAAATTGTGAGATTTCACTAATTACACTACCTTTCACTGTACATTTACAGCACAATTAGATGATACAGAAACAGGTTGTTATAATGCAGTGTATTGGCCAAAACATCACAATACACCATGGCCACCATAGCCTTAAATGAGGGAGTGGAAATGTATGAGACTGTGTGCTTGTAGGTGTTTTTATGAATGAGTAGTACTTATGTACCACCAGAGATTGTATTATTAGGCATTTCTTTGTAGCAATTGTCCTTTGCATTTGCCATTTAATGGATTTTCCCTCAATTGTGTTTAGCTGGTTTGCACCTCGTATTCAATGTTTGAAACTATATGTTTTTTTTTTTTTTTGACAAAAAGTAAAGAATCTGTTTTTTTGTTTTTTTTTTGTGATTAAGTATATCTCTGAAGCAAGCTGTAATATATAGAGTTGTTGTTTCATAGATTACAGTTGTATCTGTTGTAATAGATGAATTCAAGGGGCATGCTTCTGGGCAAAGATTTAAGTGGCTCTACTCACTTTGTGCACCGAGTTAAAATTCTTATCTGATCTATACTACCTGAGCTGTCAAAGAACATTTATGAATGTATATTGATTAACAGAGAATCTTCTAAATTCTTTAGATAAGCCATTGCCTAGAACATGATGCTCATTTTTGTGTTAAATTAAGCCTGATTAAGAAATTCAGTTTTCATTGTCAATTTTTGTCAAGTATTTTAATATTATCAGAACATTGTCAGTTTTATGTAATGTGGTGTCAACCCCTAAAAACTGATATGTTTTTGGAATGAAGTATATCAAAATAAGGACATCTGTTTTGACCAGATCGTAGGCTTGAACATTTTAATTGTATGCACAAAAAGAAAATAGATTAGGGTTTATAATATACAATACAATATAATATAAAATAGCAACTTAAAAGTTTATTAATAAAACCGAAATGAATACAAAATGCAATTAAAAAATGTTTTCAAGAAAATGATCCTCCTTATGGTTGAAACTACAGTATACATCAGTGGCTTAATTTTGTTTCATTTTCTTCGGTTTGACGTTATTTACATTTTTGTATACCTACTTTGTACCAACTCAGAAGACTATAAATGTTCTATCAACCTACATGTTCTGTCATCCAAGTGAAAAAATGTTCTCATTATATGTTTGCTATATTTAGAATACATGTGATGGCTTGTTTTACAATGTGTAAATGTCTTTGTCGTGATCTGGGTTTGTAGTTTGAGGCCAAGGCTAAAATAAAGCTTTCTCAATGCTGCCATGGTAATCTGTCTTCTGTTATCATGTCTTTGAAGCTCCCACCTTTTCTTTCTCCATCACAGAATGTTTTTTCAGCTACTTAGTTTGCAGGTGTTGTCTCAGAATCCATCTTTCAGGGAAAACCAGTGTTGTGACAGCATGACAACTCAAAATTCAA